ACATGAGATGCAGTGTTTCATCACCAGATGAAACACCGAGAAGAGAGTTGAAAATACGACGCGCAGCGGAGTATTTTTGACGAACTTCGAGGTGTTTCATCTGGTCATGAAACACTGTGTCGAATGTTTGATATTTCTTCTCAAACAAAATCATTTTTGAAGGAGAAATTAAGGATGCAAATACTAAGCAGTGTTTCATCCGATTTCCAAACACTCATTAAACATTAATTTCCTTTGTATTTTCTTAATGAATTATTAATGAGTTTGAGAATTAATATTCATGTATTGGAAAGCGTAGTAAACAACAGAGGAACAAAATCAAACTGCTTTTTTTCAGTAAACAAAAGACTGAAAACATCGCACCTTCTTTTGAACTGCCAGCCAAGTCTAAAACACGTCTAAAAGCCCGGACACTGATACTGTTTATTGCTCCTTCGGAGTGAAAATTACACGCCCTTAGTGCTGAACATCACTAACATGCACCAGCTGTATACTTGTGCAACTTTTCGGACGGGGTTAAACGAAACAAATCGATCTACAAAAGCACTTACGTACCACTAGATTCACTTAAACATCTGCGATCTTTGCGGTCAGGAGCAGCAACAAGATTAATTATAATAATGGAGAGGGGCACCTTTCAACACTCTGCTGCCAAGTTATTTAATGTCCTTCCGGCAAATATTAGAAACTGTAACAATTTCAAAGTATACTGTAGGGAAGTTAATGCCTACCTGTTAAATAACATTTGTAAATAGTTTGTAAATTGCACATAGGGTTGTATTACTATTACTAATCTCTGTTACATTATTATACAATATCCTTTTATAGTCCGATGTTATTGCTTTTTATATTGTAGATTTCATATTTTATTTTATAGTTTTTAACAGATGAAGCGCCACTAGGTGGATACACTGTTAATAAACCATTATTATTATGATTGTTATTATTAAAATTTAATAATGAATCGAACATATTTTATCGATAACAGTGCTAACTATTAAAATCCTATTTACAACCAATTCACTTAAAATAATAATAATAATAATAACAATAATAGTGTTTTGACGAAATAGTTTTTTTATACCCGATTATTTTTAGTATTATTACTATTATTATTATTATTATTAAATTCTCCGTTGGCGATGAATACACTGAAAGGAATAAGAAAACCAAAGACTGAAAAAAAGCAACAACAGCCCTGTTTTAGAAGATAATAATGCGCAAAAATGATAACAGAGGCAGCAAAGCGCATTTTGAAATCGCCCTGAATATAATGTCCTCACTCACCTTTTAGTTAACTTCAAAGTGGACGACCACGTCATTAGGGATGTGTAAAAAATGATTTTGTCTTCTCTCAAACGTTATCGCCTTCAATTCAGGCCCAATCAATTTGTCAAGTGGGCGGGCGATTTTTCCTGGAGTTGACGACTGAATTCTTAGGGACTGCATGTATTCAACTTCATAAAAAAAAAAGGAAAGTCACTCGCCTACCCGAGCTACCCTGAAACCACGTGAAACGAAACAGCAGTGATTGGAAAGTCAGGCTTACCCAGTCAGAGTCAAGTAGGGCAACAATTTCTTTTTCATCATCTTTCTAGCTAACGTTACCTGCTCATTTTTTTCCTCTTTTATTCTCTTCAAAGGTAACTTCTAAGAAACAACCAAGGAAAAGTCACTTTCAAGCTAACATTCAAATACAGCAATGGGGCAAATTGCGACTTGCTGGAGAGGAGATCGAGTCTCCGATCTGGAAAGGGAGTTGAGAAGGGCAAGGTTAGACTGCGAAGAAGAGAGAAGAGCAAGGGAACAGTTAGGAGGCATGTTAACGTCACACGAGCAAGAATTTAGAGGGATGAGAGACTGGGTAATTACCGGTGATGAAATTGAAATCAGAAGAGACCAGCGACTCGGGGAAGGTGCGTGGGGAATCGTCTACCGTGGAAATTTTCAAGGATGTGATGTAGCTGTAAAAGAAATACACCCAGTCATTATGTCTGATCGAATCAGGCAATTGTTTGAAAGAGAAGTGGACATTGCCTCAAGGTGCCGCCATCCCTGCCTATTGCAATTTATTGGTGTAACAACTGGTGAGAGACCCCTGTTAGTTACGGAGATAATGGAATGCAGTCTAAGGGCAACACTATACAATCAAGCTGACCCACTACTATCGGACCCTGAAATAACTACGATTGCTCTGGATGTGGCTAAAGCACTAAACTATCTGCATCACAAACGAGATCCCATCATTCACCATGACATCAGTAGTGGGAATGTTCTGTTGAGGCGACAAGGTGACCAGTGGAGAGCCAAAGTGTCAGATTATGGCACTGCT